GAGGCTGAGTCCTGCTGCGATGACTGGCTGGTATAGACTAATCTCTGGGCGTTTTCTTTGCTCATCTGCTGAAAATCAACATGTAGTTCTTGTCGCGCGCTTGCAAAGTCCGCGTGCTGAGCTCGGTACTTCTGCTGCTGGTTGGCAAGCTCTTCGGCGAGGACTCTGTCTCTTTGCTGCAGCGCTTCCTCTCGTTCTTGCTCCAGGTCTTTCATCTCCTGCGCGTAGCGGGCCTGTAATTCTTCCTGTTCCTGTGCAAGGAAGCGGCCTGCTGCTGTTTGGTCGAGGCTCCGCATTTCCTTTGCCAGTTCGGTCTGGATTGCTAGTGGAGACCCAAACTGCTTCTGCATAAGTAAATCAACGACTGTCAGTGCAGCAGTTCTGGTGCCGAAGTGGCGGACAACGTTCGCTCCTTCACGAATCATCCCAGCCCAGTACTTGTCGGAAGATCTGAGCTGTTTCTCGCGCTCGACAGCACTTGTCCATTGAGGACTGCCTTCTTCCATGCCATCCCAACGGGTAGTCACGAAAGCAACACCTTGCATAGCCTCTTTCCCACATAGGCGCTTGAAAATCTCGAGATTTCTGATTGCCGAATGACCCATCTTCGGATCAACGATGCGATGTAGATAAAGTATGCCTGACAACCGAACACCTCTCGTGTACAGTTCTGTCAGAGCAGAAGAGATTTCACGAAGTATTTCGGTGTCGGATCTTGACGTGTCGTCAAACCCAGGCGTATCCATCAGCCAGCCTTGCCTGCCATCAGACAGTCGAAACCCATGCACCGAGACGTGCTTGGTCCCTCGAACGGTATTAGCGTGTCACTACGAACAGAAAGCGGTCGCGCTCACTTGATCTCAGATCGTGACCGATTTCAACATCTTTGTCAGGAGATAGAAGAGACACGAATGTGCTTTTGCCCGCACCCGTAACACCCATAACAGCGAGCACGACATCTCCTGCCCTCAGAAAAGGCTGATGCATGGTTGGAGCTACCTGTTGTACCGGTGGGACGATCGCTGAGCTTGAGGGAGCCTCGTCCTGATATGGTGGAGGGTGCTCGAGCATGACGGCATCGTTCTCTTCCTCCATTGCCAGGCTTGGGCGTGTTTTCATAGAAGGCGATTGCGAGTTCATTGTAGTCTGCCACGCGACGGTCCAGCGAGATTGAGGACAGCACTTCTCAAGACGTTCCAGTCTCATTGTGGCTGTGTTGCCGCTTTAGTGAGCAGCTCGTATTTCGCCAGCCTGATGCACAAGTTTGCCTTCCCACGAGTAGGGCACATTCAGCTTTGTTCCAGCATGCTGAAGTACAGCCAATTCAGATAGACCACGTGTCCCCGTCATGCAGGTGGGCGCAACTTGACACAAAAGGGGCTTCTTATCGGCAGACGTTGAGGGTGCATAGTGCAAACCGTAAGGCGTCAGGCGTCGAATCGCGTGCTGGCTGCGAGACCCAGACACACCTCATTTCACTCGTAGAACGTGCGGCTGAAGTTCTGGCCAATTCTTTCCATCAGTCAGGACGGTTCGGCGAGAAGAGGAATCAAGGAGGGTACTTTGCGTGATTTCGACCTGCCAGAACGGTCGCATGTCAGTCATCAGAGTCCACAACAGGCCACAACGTTCTCATTCGTCCGCATAGGTTTGCTTCGCTCAGCCTCATGAAACTCCTTGGTGGCCAAGCCAGAGGTTGCTGTTCGCTCGAATAGACCTTAAGCAGGACCATTTGGTCCAAGTCCGTCATGTGCATCCAAACATTCTGGTTCTGACTCTCGCAGATTGTTTTCGGTTGAGAACAAGGAGACATGAATGTCCAAACCCGGGACCCATCGTTGCGTGGGGAGCTAAGGTATGCACTTGGTCCCTTCCCGCACCACATTGTCTGGCTGATCTAGCTAGCAAGGCCAGAGGATGTTTTCATTGCTGTGATGGGCCTGACAGGCTCGGGAAAGAGCAGCCTCATCAATATTTGCACACAGCAAGACGTCCCAATCGGTAGTGATTTGTTTTCGTGTATGATCATGTCCTGTTCTTGATAAGTGCTTGCTGACAGCGACAGGCACCACCGCTGTCTCTGTCTACAGCTTCGAATACGGTGGAAAGAAGGTACATCTGATCGACACTCCAGGTTTCAACGACTCGCATCGATCCGAGTCCGACGTCCTGGAAGAAATCTGTTACTGGCTGAGCACCGCATACGGACCTCGTGATGTGGATTATTCGGAGCGCTTTCTGCTGAGCGGTATCATATATCTCCATCCGCTGACCGAGCAGAAATGGACGGGTACTTCACAACGAAGTATCGACTTTCTCAAGGCGCTTTGCGGCTCGGAAAACTATTCGTGCATTAGTCTGACCACGAGTTTCTGGGACCAAACAACTCCCGCGAAAGGCATGGAGCACGAACGCCAGCTCATCGACCATCCGTCCAAATGGGGAGCCATCCTGCAGAAGCCCGGCACGAGAACACATCGGCACGATTGCGGATATCGATCTGCGATCAGGATCATCGAATCCATCATCCAGAAGAACACGAAATACGCCCTTCGCATCCAAAAGGAGTTGAGCCAACCTGATGTGACGCTACTCGACACGACAGTGGGCCGCATGGCACACAGAGCCTGGGAGGCAGACGGTGAGAGCTTCCAAGCTCAACTTGACCACACAAGAGACAACCTGCACAACCTCCGGTCATCCAGCCTTGACCATGACATCACCTCGATGCGAACAAGTCTGGCTAATCGCGAGAAGGCGGTCGCTTCACTGACTCTCAATCAGCCAACTCTGTCTCAGCGCTGGACAGCCCGGAACACTCGGGATGATGAACTCATGAATCAACAATTGGAGCAGTGCAACCAGAAAATTATCACTCTTCAACGCCAGCTGGAAAATCAGCAACACGGTGCCGTCAATATCTCGATCCGCAACAATGACTCCGCCTCCAGCATTGCGGAAAGCGAAGTAAGTGCGATGGATCGACAGTTGAAGCTGGAACGACAAAAGGAAAAGGATTTGATGGCAAGGCGTATGGCGAAGATGACGAGTAAGAGTATGAACGCAGGGATTGCAAGTACTCTGTTTGGTGCGGTGAGTATGGGTGTTGCGTTGTGGCCGCTGGCTCTCACAGCCTGTTGTGTCATGTAAGACCCACGGAGATGGTCGAGAGATGGTCGAGACCGCTTCACTGGGTAACAATGTCTAGTCTGATGCCGGAGATGCCAGCACCAATAATTAGTTATGAGTTGATAAGTGCAAGACTGGTGTGGCTCTGTCAAGCCTGCAAGAAAATGAGGCTGACCGGCTGAAGAAGTTCCCGTGGCGCTTTCCTTCAGCAATCTGCGCGTTCCCAACAATCTGGCCCCGACATCACCGACTTTTCTAGAAATGTGAATCTCAAGACCTCCTGGCTCTCTCGAGCCGATTCCTTTTCTCTTCCTCCTTGTGTTCGCCCAGCATGGCCACGATGGCGGCTAACGACACGACTGTCCCCAATGGGCTGACAGATCCTGAAAAGGCCGCAGGGGAACTTTCTTCGGCCATGGACCGAGCCAAGCTCGAGGAGAACCCCGAGGAGCCTGGTGTTACCGTGACAAAGCCTTCGACTGAATCGAAAGCTGTAGATGCGTCAAGTGCAGCTGCTACCAGCACGGTCGAAAGCGGAGGACCGCCTGCGCTCGCGTCGTCAAAAATATTGAACCTTCCACGTACCGCAGCCGATGGAGTGATCAAGACTCCGCTCGCGGAACCACTAGAGACCTCGAAACCTACATCAAGACCCCCTTTGACGGCAGAACAAGAAGCTAAATATGCGACGCTGCTCAAGAATGTGTCGAGTTGGACAGAATTACCCGAGACTTCAGCCAAAGGCTCGAAGACCTCACCTCTGACCGACTCCGAACGGATATTCCTCACTCGAGAGTGCTTGTTTCGCTATTTGAGGGCTACAAATTGGAACGTAGCGCAATCGGAACAAAGACTGAAGAACACACTGGTCTGGCGCCGTGAGTATGGACTGGAAAAGCATACGAAAGACTACATTTCTATCGAGAACGCTACAGGCAAGCAAGTAATACTGGGATGGGACAATCATGGAAGGACGTGTCAATACCTGAGACCATCGAAGCAGAACACAGAACGAAGTGACCGGCAGATTCAGCATCTTGTTTTCATGCTCGAGAGAGCGATCGACTTGATGCCTGCTGGTCAAGAAACACTGGCCTTGCTCATCAACTTTGCCGAAACAAAGTCCGGACAAGGTGCGACACTATCACAGGGAAAGCAGACCTTGAACATTCTCCAAAATCACTATCCAGAGCGCCTGGGTCGTGCTCTTGTTACCAATGTACCGTTTTATATCTGGGGCTTCTTCAAGTTGATCACTCCGTTCATTGATCCCTTGACACGAGACAAGATCAAGTTCAACGAAGATATGGGTTTACATGTGCCCAGAGAACAATTGCTGAAAGAGAGCGGCGGATTTGTTGAATTTGAGTATGATCATGAAGAGTATTGGCCAGCTCTGAATGATCTATGCGAGATGAAGAGGGCCGCAAGGCAGGCTAGATGGGAGAAGGGAGGAAAGAGAATTGGCGAGTACGAGGCGTACCTCAGAGGAGGAGAGGAAAAGAGCCTTGCAGAGCGAGAGCAAGAGGCGGCCCCTAGTAGCAACTGAGAGGCTGATCGAGCGTCAAGATCAAGGAGTGTTGGAGTTTTCGACATGGCATTGATATTGGATTATTGGTCCTAGAGTGCAGGTGCAGAGTCTTGGAGGAGATCACCTTCCCAGACCTATTCTTTACAATAGATTAGGGAGACAGTAGGAGAAGAAGCACCTCATGCGTGCATAACGTAGTACAGATGTCTTCAAAAGGCCGTCTCATGAATAGTGCTACCTACCTAGGTAGTTTGTTGTCGTGAGGATTTCATAAGGGGCAGCCAGCAATCATATATCGTACATCACATGCCAATTTCGCTGATGATTAAAAAATAAAAAAAGGTCCGAACGTGGTTCGAACACGTGACCTAGAGATATTTGAGGATGACTGCAATCTCTCGCTCTACCACTGAGCTATCGAACCCTCCAAATCCATGAAAAGTTGCGTCGAACTTAACGAGGATATCGGAGCAAATTTTCATCTCTTAAAAATATGAGATGAGTTCTTGATTGGCTTGTCCTAGGCCTGCCCAGGCTTGCTAGTATCTACCTACCTTACCTACCTAGGTAAGGTAGTCATCACAGCACAACCCACCAAGTCAACCCGCAGTCCGCCTTCAACTTCCCCAGTCCCGGGAGCCGATCTCTACCACGTCCACCTGTAAAGCACAACTGCGCAAACCTCATTGCTTGCATGATTATCAACACCTGCATGGAGATCTAGTCGTCGTCACCGTCTCTGCCGTGCTCTGCCCCCCGTTCTTTTCTGCCTCAAAAATTCACTCGTCAACGGCCTGGTGCTCTCCACACGCTCCCACCGTTTCCCTCCACAAACACACCAAGTCGCGCCTCTTGCGTCCTCAGGCAGAAGGAGCGTTGCCTTGATTGACTGAAAACGAAAGATGCTCTTTGCGAGGTCATCATGGCAGAGAACGCTGAGGTGACCCAGACCTCTACCCCACCAGATGCGCAGTCTACTCTTCCTCCTACGAATCATTCATCTCCTGCTGCCGCTGGCCACACTACTCCTTCTCATCATGGTCACGAGGCCACTTTTGTCCGACCATCAGATCTCCTTCGCCCACGGACCACTTCTCGACCAGCAGCTCCTCAACCGGAGAGGCCTATAGATCGGGATGAAAGAGCTGGACTAGTAAGAGAACGCCTGTTCCCCATGACACACATGGACTGTTGCGACTGACTTCGCACAGACAGCCATACGAGATTTCCTCAGAGTGCGCAATTGCTACGAGGTGTTACCGCTCAGCTTCCGGCTCATCGAGCTCGATGTTAGTCTCACAGTCAAAGAGAGCCTGAATATTATGGTTCAATGTGGTATGTCGCGTGATCTTTCGGGCTACGGACACTACTAATTGTATGGGTAGGAATTGTCTCTGCGCCACTGTGGGACTCCTCTACTTCGACTTACGCTGGTCTCCTTACCGTCAACGACTATCTGAATGTCGTGAGGTACTACAATTTACATGCCGACAAGCTGAAAGACGTGGATAAACTGTTGCTGAGCGATCTGAAAGGTGAGAAATTATATTGCGATGGCTTGTTTCGGGATTAGGACTGATTAAGTGGCAGAGGTGGAGAAATTCCTGGATGTCAAGCCTCCCGAAACAGTGTCGGCTTCGCCAGAGGCCATCTTATACGATGCCCTACGGCAGCAATTATTGTCGAGAGCTCGCCGTATACCCTTGGTCTCGTACGACAGCGACACGCAAAGAACTATGGTCACTAGTGTTATCACTCAATACCGCATTCTCAAGTTCATCGCGATGAATGTCAAGGAAACCGAGATGCTGCGGAAACCTCTCGAGATGATCAAGCTCGGAACATACGGAAACATTGTTCGTTGCAGTATGGATACGACAATGCTGGATGTAATTGATGAGATGGTGGTGAAGAACATCTCTAGTGTACCTGTGGTAACTACCGAAGGTATGGCGGATCCTCCCACTATTCGAGCCCGTGCTGACCGACCAGGCGTCCTTCTCAATGTGTTCGAAGCCGTCGATGTGATCGAGATCCTCAAGACAGGAGACTATGGCAATCTCACCTGGACTGTTGGTAAAGCCTTGTCGGCACGACCACCAAGTCATCCAGGCATATACTGCTGCTCACTAGAGGACGGCCTTGATACGATCTTCGAAACCATCAAAAAATCCCGCGTGCACAGATTGATGGTGGTTGATGAGAACAATTACCTTAAGGGGGTATTGTCACTTTCCGACATCCTACATTACATTCTGGTCGACGGGCAAGAGGAACTGAACCATGCGTAACGACATCAGGAGGAGATCTGAAATGCATAGCCTGGCGTTGTTATCGATGCATAAGTACGGCGTTTGGTCTGTGACTTGCTAGGATCAGACACAAATAGAGCGGCTGGATAAAAGGAGCCAAATGGCAATCACAGTGGCACGAATACGAAGAATTTCACAATAAAGTGCGGAGTATCTAAGAAGCATGCGACTCATGCTGTAAGAACCATGAACCTGGTAGAGCAGCAGGCTACGTGTCCTGATCAGAAGTGAATGAACGACGATATTGTCCCTGCCATGACTCTAGGTGCCATATCAACCATAGACGCCAGCGGCAAAGCTTCGACATACCTACCGTAAGCGTGGACTTGTTCCAGGGGGCGAGGCTGGCTTCCGCAAGGCTGTGGTGGGTGTGTGGCACTAAATGCACAGTACTCTAAGCACTTCTCCGTAGCGAAACCTACGTCAGAGTATACGCACTTTCCTCTGACGCGTTTAGTGGAACGCGTCTCTCAGTCCATCAAAGAAACACTTCCTCTCGCAGTTCTCAATCGAAAGTCAACTCTTCCGCCCATACTACCCTCGATCTTGACCATGACGGAGGCAAAAGAGAACCTTGATGCGGTGTTCGACCCTTCGGGCAATGGCCTGCCACCCGACATTCTCGGCGTCCTGGAATCCACACTACGCCTACACTCGCTCACGGCCGAGGAACTCTTCATTAAATGGGAAGTCTACTGCCTCAAGATGGGCAGTGAAGAGACGAAACTCGACCTTGAGACGGCGCGTATGTTCGCAAAAGATGTGCAAGATAGTGTGGAGCGAGGAGACAGTCGAGCGCAGCAGCAGGGCAGCAAATTCGCTCCCAAGTCGGACAGGAAGAGTGCCGTACATGCAACGCCCAGGGCAGTCGGAACGGGAGATGTCTTTGGAATGTACGCATCATCCGGAAAAGGTCCCTTGCGGGTTTATGGGTGGGAAGAATGGGGCTGACGAGAGAGAACGCTAGGCTCGACGAACTCACGCCTAACGCCCTCCCACGACGAAGCGGCAGCGTCAAGAGAAAAGCAGATTTCGACTCTCCCGTGCCAAAGAGAGTCAGTCGATCGGACACAAGCAAGACACCAGGCAAGGCAGGCAAAATAGATGGATCTGCGTACGACACCGTCCCACATCTGCCAGAATGGTAGGAGTATCTTGCTACTAATGGCTAACGTTCTGTACTACAGAGGAATCCCCTTCTCCGAACGACCCAACGCAGGCCAGATCATCGAAACAATAAACGACCACCTCCCTCAAGCCGAAGCACCGCTCGCACCGTTCTCCGAAGCACGACTCCGTCTGATCTCTCGCACGGATTTCAAAAAGTTCACATATAAACCCATGTCGATGCGCCTGTCGGACGCCTCAGAAATCCTCGACGAGCGAATTGACGACTTTCTCGCTCTCGTCCAGAAACATCATAACCTCGAGGACTCGGCGTTCGGCAACGCGGCGGCGCAGAGCACAAGTGAGATTATTGCCGTCGGGCGCATCGCATCAGACACGCCAGAGGGAAAGCTCAACTCTGCTTCGCTCGTGCTCGAGATGTCGCGGCGGATGGGTGCGGGACTACGAGTGCCGCTCAAAGTCGACGCGCTACCTTCGTACCAATTCTTCCCGGGCCAAATCGTCGCGGTCAAGGGCACGAATGCTTCAGGTCTGTATTTCACGGTTAAAGAAGTCCTCTCCATTCCAAAACTACCTATGCCGTTATCCACGACGAGCGAGATTGCAGCCGTCAACGAACGCCTCGAGGTCTCGGAGGACTCTACTACAACACTACCGCTGAACATAATGATCTCTTCCGGGCCCTACACCGCCGATGATAATCTGGCATTCGAACCGTTCCAAGCACTATGCGAGAAGGCAGCGGACAGTATGGCCGACGCACTTATCCTGACCGGTCCTTTCCTGGACATTGAACACCCCATGCTTGGAAGTGGGGACTTCGACATCCCCGAAACACGAGGCCTGGATAACGAATCGAGCATGGCCGCACTGTTCAAGACGTGGATATCGCCGCACTTGCAGAGACTGTGCGCAGCCGTGCCGAGTATAACGGTGATTATGGTCCCCAGCGTGCGGGACGCAGTAAGTAAGCACGTCTCGTGGCCGCAGGAACGGCTTGTCAAGAAGGATCTCGCGCTGCCGAAACAGGTTACCATGCTACCGAATCCGTGCTTTGTGAGCTTAAACGAAACGGTTTTCGCAATAAGTTCCCAGGATGTCTTATTCGAATTGAGTCGGGAGCAGCTTTCGCATGGCATGGGCGGTGTGGGTAGCGATCTGTTGAGTAGATTGCCGGGATGTCTGATTGAACAGAGACACTTTTTTCCGCTGTTCCCGCCAATGGCGCGCGGAAATGGGGCGACGAAAGGATCAGGCGCATGTTTAGATCTCGGGTATCTGAAGCTGGGAGATTGGATGCAGGTTAAGCCCGATGTGCTGGTGCTGCCGAGTTTGGTCACGGCAAGTGTCAAGGTAAGTTTTGCTCTCGTTCCTGGGAATGGTGTGGCAAACATGGCTGACACGATGACAGGTCGTCGATAGCGTGATGGTGCTTAATCCAGGACAGTTGTCGAAGAGGAAGGCCGCTGGGACGTATGCACAGATCTCGCTGCAGCCGAGGGTGATGAGTGAGGAGGAGAAGGCGGAGAGGACCTTGTCGCATAAAGTGTTCGAACGGGCGAGGGTGGATGTCGTGAGGATATGATTGTGCATCCTCTGGACATCGTCTTGCTGTTGGAAGAGCCATGCAGGATCAACCTATACAATAATGTTGATGTATCATGTCTCATCGGCGCCATTGGGTTTGTCCACCTCGATGGCCATTGTCATGCCCTTCGATGCCTCTGCATAACCGTATCATACCATACCATCGTGGGCATGTCCCGTCACGGGCGACCCCTTGCTTGTAGAGTCAACATCCTCGAAAAGGTGGGATGATCAGACCCCGGCTTGTGCTCGTCAGTGCCCTCCTCGTATTGACCCCCAAAGTTGTAACCATCTCCATCGTCATCAAGCCCTTCAAGTGAGACTATCATGGCCTGACCTCGTTATCCCTCGTAGCCGCGCCGTCAATGTACCTCACCGCAGAAGTAAGAGATTGGTC